ACTTCTACTGAGAGTACAGGACGTTGTATTTTCCTTTTTATTTATCTTATGTGCAGGAAGTCCAGTCACTTCATGTGACATTTGCTTACCCGGTTAGCTCCCGGTGTAGTTTGCCTCAATTTATTTGAGACAGGGATTTGGTTGGAAACTCGTTCGATGTGTAATCAAAATAAATTAAATGAACATTGGTATTGGTCTAGTTAGGTGTTGAATGTTTTGTATGCTTGTAAACAGGTGCAGCACGGTAAGTTGTGTGATGATAGGATGAAAGCATGTTAGTGTGTTTTATTACGCTTATGTACTCAGAATTGCTGATTGTGTGTTTGTATGTTTGTTTAGCCTTGTCTTTACCTTGGCCCTACGACGACCTATTTCTAATGGCGAGTAATGGGACAAGTAAAAAGAAGCTTTTCAGGTGATGAAGCATATTCATGAAGGGCATGAGTGACGAGCGAATCATGCTTAGTTCTCGTAGGAATATGATGTTTTTTACTTGCTTTGAATATTATTTATTTTATTCTGTTCATGAGACTAACGCAAAGGTTCTTTTTTTAAATATTGTTTGGTTTTAAGGGCCTGCAATGGTTCCAAGTTGTAGTTTGACTTTGGTTGACTTAGTTTGATTTTACTTTGGTTTGGTTTGACTTTTTAGGTTGACTTGTTTTTAAATGGTTTTAAAGATAGTCTTCTGCCGTGTGAGTCTTTGATATTTGTCTTAGCCGTTTTCACGGTGGCGGTAATATCTTAGATTTTCCTATTTTGTATTTTTAAAAGGGCAAAATAGGTATTTTAAAAGAAAGGAATTTCTAGGGTGTTACACAAACATATTCCAATTTTGGGTTATGGCAATTCTACCACCTCCTCACCTAATCCACCTTTCCATCTCAAGAATGTCCTCTATGTTCCTAACATAATTAAAAATTTAATTTCCGTTAGAAAATTTGCTTGTGATAATTCTGTGTCTGTTGAGTTTGACCCTCTTGGTTTTTCTGTGAATGACCTTCATTCGAGGACAACTCTAACGAGATACAATAGTGTAAGGGACTTATATTCGTTCTCAAAATCTTCTGCTATATATGGCAATAATCTATCTCTAGCTGTAATTTCTCCTTCAACTTGGCATCATAGACTTGGACACCCCGGCGAACCTGTTTTGATTTTCTTAGGAAAAACAATTTAATTCGTTGTAATAAGAGAAATAGTTCTCAATTTTGCTATTCTTGTCCTTTGGGAAAACATGTATGACTTCCTTTTAATAAGCCCTCTACTTCTATCACTTTTTCACAGTTTAATATTATTCACGCGGATCTTGGACGTCTCCTATTTCTAGCAAATTGAGTCACACGTACTATCTAGTGTTGCTTGATGATTTCTCTCATTTTATTTGGGTGTTTCCTATCAAATATAAATCTCAAGTCTATGATATTCTTCATAATTCGAGCATATGTTAAAAAGTCAATTCGAAAGGGATTAAAACCTTTCAAAGTGACAATGGTCGCGAATTTGATAATTCTCCATTTCGTAATTGTTGTGCGACTAATGGCATGGTCTTTCGCTTTTCTTGCCCGAACATTTGTTCACAAAACGGTAAAGCCGAAAGGATTATTTGCACTATTAACAATATGTCTTAATCACAACATTTTCCTTTTACATCTATTTCAGATTAATTGCAACACTTCATTTTTTTTTTGTAAGTGTTCATCATTGTTTATTAATTTTCTCTTCCATTAGCCCCACCGTCATTTTTTATTATTATTTTTTCTTTATCCCACTAATAATTATATATACCCCACCGACTCTACTTTATATTATACAACCCTCACTTTGTTTCTTACCCTATATTTTTTTAATTAAGTGTCAAGTCAAATGTTGTGTAATAAAAAAATAAATAATAATAATAATAAATATAATAATAATAAAAGGTAAATATAATCCCAATTTTATTTAGGCTATTCGCATTTGGATTATTTTTAAATAATCTCAACTTTAGATTATTTTTAACTAATCCAAACTTTAGGGGTCATCCGCTTTCATAAATAATCGCTCTAGACGTTGCTGGCAATTAGGGTAATAAGGCTATAGGTGGCATTACAGTGGCCGAAATTGTTGGTGGTTATAGTTAGGGTTGTGTTGGTATTGGCATATGTATATTGTATAGTAAGCCTAGGAAAAGAATATGATAAACCCTTGGAGGGAAATACGTGTATGATTTTAGGAGTAAGAGGAGAGGAGAAAACAATAAAACTAATCTAACAAACAATATTAGGTTTCGTTTAGTTTGACTTTAAACATTTTTAATAGAAAATGATTTTTTATGGAAAATTAAACATATTTTCGAGAAAAACCACTACTGCGAAAATGAGGATGGATGAGTGGAAAGTAAAATGGAGGTAAAGAGGATGGAGGGGAATGTAATTTCCCATCTTTTGTAAAGGAAAATGTTTTAAGGACGTCATTTTTCATTATTGGGAAAATTATTTTCTACCCCTCACAAACCTAACAAAGTAAAATGTAAAAAATGAGAAAATAGAAAAAATCATTTACATCAAACTAAACACGCCCTTTAAAGTTTGAGAATTTTTTTGATGTTATTACCCTATCTCGAAACTCCAAACCAAACGCTTCTTATCTTGTGGTGAGGGAAAACTTGGGGTGCTTAAGACATTTTGGTGAATCAAATTCTATATTATGACAAAAATCAGATTAGCCAGCCCATTACGTATAATCGAGTCCACTAAGATAATCTATAATCTATTTTTCATAAAATATGTAGGCCTTTATATCAAACTGCCAACAACTGAGTTAGTAATTGGGAGTTGGGACATAAACCCAACACATATAATGTCCGGAGTAGTCCAGACCTACTTCCACATATTTTTCCTTCAATTTCATGGCCAACATGTCAAAATCAACCCAATTTATTGAATGTAAATGGTACTACTATCTACCCAAGTCCTAATTTGGCGAGTATTTAGCTACTGTATTAACTTTCAAAAACCTTTGACGCCCATTTTTTTTTTAGGTGCTGAAAGCCTGAAACAGAGTTTAATACAAATTGGAAAAAGACATACAAGAAGAAGAAAGTACAATAATTAGATTAGATTCATTATAAAGTATAAACAGAGATGAATTTAACAAAATTCCTTAAAAGTACGAGTTTTATTTTATTAATGTGTGCATAATTTAGTCTTGTCAAAAATAAATTAAATATTAATCATAAGATTTGATTTTTGGAACTAGTAATTACCCGTTATGATCCAAAACTAATTTACGTAGTTTTTAAGCATTAGTAATGATTCAAAATTGATCCAATCCAAACAAAACCAACCTAAAAATGATACGGAGTGCTTTGTAAGGTTAATACTGATTAGTAACACAATAAGCGAACCGAATCAAATAACTCATCATCAATTTGTAATGAAATTTGAACCTAATCTGAACAACCTATTCATCCTCTCTACCTTCTCTATTGTTTCCACATATTTTCCTAAATGTATATTTTTTTTTTCTTCTTCTTCTTCTTCCCTATATATCAAACCTTAGTGCTGCTCAGCTGCTGTCAAAGTAGAAAGGAGTTTGTGGCCAATGAATACCTCAGCCCTCAATAAAACTTAACTACCCAATAGAGTAATAAAAATGGGGGTCAAAGGTACAATAACTAGAATCATCGAAGCCATAACATTACTAGTACAAGTACAATAATTTACATCGACTAGAATTTGTACTGTAACTCTCATTAAGTACAACAACAGAAGTAGAGAACTACTCTTCACGGGTCTCCGACCAGGAACGTGCCTATAATCTATAGATTATGCATATATGGTAAATGAGTTTTGTCGTATAACGATGTTTCTAGTTCTACAGTACTAAATTATTTTTATTAAAACCTCAAACCTAGTACCGTACGAGTATATAGCAAAAATAATTGTAAACAAGTACTCCGAGTGATTAAGTTTGTTGCATCTTGTTCAAATACACCAGTTGTGTGTGTATATATATATATATATATATATATATATATATATATATATATATATATTTATATATATATATATATATATATATATATATATATATATATATATATATACATGTATATATACATGTATATATATATGTATATACATGTATATATATATGTATATACATGTATATATATATATATTTTTGGTGTTTCACCCGATTCACCCTTTAGGTTAATCCGGATTCGAGACTCAGTTCTGGGTGTCTAGGTTCCAGTCCCCTTCCAATTGTTGTTGCGGAGTTACAGGAGATCGAACACGCGATTCTCCTTACCATACCAAATGTAGCCCCAATCACCAGTGCACCAACAGCCAATTGGTATACACCAATTGTATATAAGCTGTTTTGATTCCATACTAGTCGTTTTCATGGAATTCACGCAAATAACAATTCCTCTAGGGCGGACTTAGGCACAAACATACTGTAACATTATTTATCAAATATGACCTTTTAAAATGTTGGAATTTCACCCTGCTTAACTGATTTAGGCAAGATAGGTGGACTTGGATTGGCTTTATTGTTGTTAGGCAACAGATGGAACTTGAGGGATGCCATCAAATGAGCGACATAACTTGGTTAAAAGTTGAAAAACAAGTGCTTAATATTAAGTGAGAAGCAAACTACAGTTCGGTGAGAAGGGTAACAATTCCCCCACCCAACCTCTTCCCTCAACCACCTGTCTACGACCACTCCAACCATCTTCATTCTCGGTATTTTTTAACCCCTTAATTCTTTACAATAAATCAAGTATGGCCAACATGATAGACAACAGATCGTTAGCCCTAAATGATAGACACTAGTATACTTGAAGGTTGAAAAATGGATTCCAAAGTCTTCCAGTAATCCAACAGCAAGAAGCAAACATAGTACTTGTGTGTGTGTGTGTGTGTGTGTGTGTGATACAAAAACACAAATCAAAGATTCAAAGGGAAAGGAAAACAAACAGAAACACAAAGCAAAAGAATAGGAAAAAAAAACTACTACAGAGGAATTAGGCATGGGAACGAAAGAAATAGATTTCAAAAAAAATCATTATTGAAAATGAGTGTTAAACATACCAAGGCTATCAATTGTCAGTCTTTCACTCACCAAATACTAAAACAATTTTTGTTAGCCCTAAATGTGATCAAAGATTTATCCTAACCAATGTAATCCTTCAAATTTTACAGTTTCCTTGCCACAAAGTTAGTGCTGCTATACATGGAATTGGCAGGAGAATAATCTTTAAACCACCTCTGAATCTGTTGATCTGTCTTCCAGTAAAGCTCTCGAGTTAGAAAATGGGGGCGGTGGAGGATCAACTGTCAATGTACCCTCCAAAACATTCACAACCTCACCCATTGATGGCCTCATTCTTTCATCAACTTGCAAACACCAAAATGCGATTCTAAGAGCACGTTCTAGCTCTTCAAAGTCAACATCACCTACAATTCTCTTATCCATAACCCTCCATCCATACCCGCTAACCCATTTGTTGTAAGACCACTCACAACTGTCTTCATGGACTTCTTGGCGCCCACATATGAGATACAGCACCATCTTTCCAAAGTCTTCCACATCTTTCTCAGCAAAAGTATCAATTCCATCTAGTCTCTGTAGGCCAAATTCTGTGACCTTAGCTTCCAAGTTTTCATCCAGAATCACATTCTTACAAGTCAAATTCCCATGGCTTACAAAATCCCTACACTCAGTGTGCAAATACAACATGGCTTTTGCCACACCGAGACAAATCAACATTCTATTTTTCCAAGTAAGCTTTTTGCATGATGCAGGACGATGCATGAAGTCTTCTAGTGAGCCGTTCTTTAGAAACTCATACACTAAAAATCTGTGCCCTGGATCACAACAAAAACCCTCCACCTTCACCAAATGCTTATGATGAATGCTTCCAATCAATGAAACCATTGCTCTAAATTTCCTCTCTTCAATTTGTAATTCTAGCCGCCTGACTAGTGCAAGTTGGTTGTTTTGAAGCACAGCTTTATATGAGTGTGGCCCTAATTGATCCTTGAAGTTCCCAGTTAGCTCCTTGATTTCACCATATGTCCATCTGACCAAGCCAGCAGAAAATAAACCATGAGAAGGCAAACTATTTTGCTTCCTGACATTTGTCACTCTTCTTTTGCAGACCCAAAATCCAACAGCTATCTGAAGCATACAAAACAGACAGAAGCTAACCAAAGCGGCATCAATTACAGAACGAATATGGCTTCTACTTGACTGGTTATTAGAGGGCAAGAAAGAGGGCGGCGGCAGAGAAGCAGCAGCAGGATAGTTAGGCTTGGCGGGTAGGGGATCCTGACATGTCTTGACAAAGGATATGGAACTCAGGGATGGATCTGAATAACCAGTAATATACCGTGTTTTCTTAATCCAACATTGTGCACTTCCGTCTTCCAAGTATGTCACAGCAGTGCAAAGTGGGTCTTTCTGACAAGAATTCCGGCAAAGGTCTAAACTGGTTACACTGACTGTATCGTTTGGCGGATAAATCCCATAAACTGAAGTGTGCATATGTTCCACCATACTAACATTAGTGTCACATATCTGCTGATAGGGAGCCGAACACTTTGAGTTTGACTGCATAGTTGACCCAAATGAGCACTTGCATGTAGGGAGGCTATTATTGGCAAAGGAACAAATTCCATGATCGCCACATGTTGCAAAAACATCACACTGATTCTCAACAGCTTGCCACACTGATCTCCATGATACTGAATCTTCATCCCATGAGTACATTCGAAGATTTCCATCAACATCTAACCTAAGAAACCGGAATGTCACATTGTCATTGTGATCTTCCGCGAATACAGACCAAAAAGCTTCAAATCTTTCATCAAGAAGTTGGAAGGAACCATTTGAGCTAAGGGAAGCCCTAAGTGACCCATTTGAAGGGCTTCCACCTACCCAGTATACAATATCGGTTTCCCACCTCAACTGCAGCTGCCTCGAGTCATTCAAATATAAACTATAGTGACTCGAAACCGAATTTCCACTCAGAGCACGAAGAGTTTTGTGGACAGACAAAAACTGGCCTGGCAAGAGTGTATCAGATGGTGTATCGAAACTTTGCCACACCAAATCCTTGTTTCCATCCAAAACAACCAAATTTCCATCATCCTGCAGGGAGGCAGAAGCAACAGGCTTCCCAGCCGTGTCACTCTTCCATACAACTCCACCATTCGAAGGATCAAATAAAACTAATCCTTCTCTCTGTGTGAGTTGTAGATAGGACTGGTTACTTATTGTGAGTTCTGCACCAGCAACCCAAACTACAGCCTTCTTATCAATAGGTATGGTGTCCGAATCGAACCGAATTCCTAAACTATACTGATTTACATGATCTGAATTATTGAAAAAACCCAAAGCAAAATCCCCATTTGGAGAAACCCACAATCTATTATCAGAAACAGAAAGCTTTGAACCCAGAGAAATTTCTGACACAGCAACAGAAAACAGCAATGACACAAGATATAGGCAAAGCAGTAAAGCTGAACTACCTACAAAAATGCAACGATTGAGCATTTTAGATGGCACAAATTACTCTGAGATTTACAATGGGTGTTGTACACTTAATTTGTACTTCGAGTAAAAGCTTTTCATTAACATAATGTTGAGCAAACTAAGATTGACAAAATCCCAATCAAAACATCGAACCTATGGTTTCAACGGCCATATTTTTCCAAAATGAATTAGGCAATAAGATGTACAATCAATAAGAAAAAGCATACCAGCTAAAGAGGAAAAAGTTTGTACTGGTGAAGAATTTGTGTGCCTGAAAATGACATCTGAACCCAGAAATTTTCAACGGAGTAATTAATTACACAATGCCCACCAAGTGCTTATATAAATTCCTCAATGAGAAAATAGCAAATTTAGAGCAAAAATTGATATACTGAAGCAAAAATCTAGGGTTTTTTCTCCGAATTTTTTCTGGGTTTTTGAAATTTTCATTTGTTGATGGGGTTTGGTATCTGGGGTTTTGGAAATTAATAATGTGGACCCAATAGAAATCAATTGAAAACACGAAAATCTGGGCAATGGGATTTATTTTCAAACCATACAAATTTGACCCAGATGAGAAAAAATAATGAACTATTCAAAAATCCAAGAAAAAATGGCAAAGATTTTGTGGAGAGAATTTGAGAGATGAGAGAAAAGGATGAAGGACGTCGACTTGCATTATTATTCAAGTGTAGTAAAGCAGAGTCTAGTAGAGTAATAGTCTAGTACAGTTCTACTTTTTGATTTTTATTTTTCAAGTTTTAATTTTAAAAAGTAGGCGAGTTATCTTTTGAGGAGTCAGCTGTCAGCTTTGTAAAGTTGGACCCAGGAAGAAGACGAAGACCCACGAGGCCACGAGGGATTTATGACTTTTGTTTTTTTGAAGAATGTTGTCTGTCTTTGAACTAGAGATGACCGAATAATATAGACGATAATCCGTGGTAAAGATGGCATTGGATCGGACTATCTTAAGGGGTAAAAAATTCAATTAGGCTGATCTGATTTGTGTGTTAGCCGATCGAAATTTAGATTTTCTAATTGGATTTATATTTTGATTATTTCAGATTGGATGTTCGGAAATTTTCAGTTTGAATTTGGATTTTTTTTAAGATTTTTTTTTTTGGATAAACATCATATTATTTCATTTTAAAAATTTATTGAGACTAAAGTATTAAACACTTAAGTATTATATAACCCCTTCATAAATTGTCGAATACATGTTTAGGCTAATAGGATCCGAGAAAAGAGGTTTTGCACGACACTTACAAAGTGCACAAGTCTTTCCTAGTTAGAGCACATTGTTGTCCAACACACCATGTCACCAATCGTTGTTTGTGACTTGAAATCAAGAAGTGAAAAAGGGATGATTTTAATGCCCATATCTCTCAATATATAACTGATCTTGAGGTAATTCAAGCTAGAGAAGATAACTTGTTTTGATAGCTTTCAAACAGCTAGTCATATGCCCATTTATGATAAAATGAAAAGGCAATGCTTGATTTAATTTTTTTTGTTTCAGCTTTTGACTTTTTCTCCCGATTTGTTTCTTACAAAGTATTTTTTGGGTATGCTTATGATGTCTACTAATGTTTTCTCTCTGGGCAATAATTTAGAATTTCTTTAGGTTTTCTGTAGGAACCATTATGTATACAACAAAGTGAGCGTATGAGAAGACGTCAAGCTTGTTCATACCAAAGGATGTCACTCTATATTTGAAAAAAAGTTTGTTAGAGGGAAAGAATGTTATATTAACTTAAACTTACTCGGAGCGGTTGGTTTAGTCACTAGGGACCACTTGGGTGACCATTTAGTTAGACGAATCAACTCATGACCTAGGATCCTGCTCAACCTTTCTTGCCGAGGCTATTGCTCTTCGAAATGGCTTTTTTTTTTTAGAGCCAAAAAGCTTTAACATTTCTCATATCTTTATTGAGGGTGATAATTGTATGCAATGATTATCACTTAGTGTTACTCTACATAAATTCCACATAACTTATACTACCTTATCTTATTAGTCCTACATTATTAACTCTAATCATATCTAAACTTATCCATCATTATTTTACAGAAAGTATTTATCTTATCTTATCTTATGTTATATTTTCTTATTTGAACATATCAACCCTTATTATACCTTATATAAGGTGAAGTAAACATACACTAACAATAATAAGGCAAGTTGAGTTGGACATAGATCAAGCTACTAGCATGCTGATCACTTAGCCCAACACGAAATTGGCTCGACTTAGCACAAACCTCATTGTAAGTCTTGCACAAATCGTGGGACGGCGAAGGACTGCGGATTGTGCATGACTAGTATTTTCAAAGTTTGACACAAACACACTGGGTTAAACCACAAACTTGATATGTAGTCCTTAACCCGTTTAGGAATTACACACACATAGACCTGCGTGACCCACCCCTTGCTCAGCTTCCGGGCAAGTAGTACAATAAGATGGGCATACCATATAAATAAATTCCATTGTTAATCGTGTTCACACCCTTGTGAACAATAATATAGTAGGTGTACTAAAAGGAGGCTATAACCTTTTTCCTTTCTTGAGTAGTTTCTTCCTAGAGACTTCTTTGCGAATGGTTTGCATGTTCATTTGAGAATATACCCCATACAATCGGTTGAGAAAAGTTAACAAAATGAAAAAAGTTCTTATTGTGTGTACTTGTAATCTTGTATGATAAATTTTTAGTATAACTATTTATTACTGATTATGGATTTTAATATAAAAGCCACTTTTTTTTTATCATCAAAACAAGAAAAAAATGCTTTAATTTCGTCTTTTCTTTTTTAGTTGAAACTACTAATTGCATGTAAGTTGCACTTGTTCCTAAATGAGATCGATTCTTAGTGTCTAAGATCTACTTGTGCTTTATCATAAGTGGATTTGTCCTCCACTGTCTGAGAATATATCTACCATTAACGAATTATGGTGGTGGTGCTAATTAAGTGGAAAGGTTAACAGGAAATTAAAGCTATTCTTATTAGATAATTTCAACAGTATTTTATGCTATTAATTACTCGTTTCTTTGTTTGTTCCATTACCTTTTATTATTTAAGGGAGAGACCATGTATTTTCATTGGTTGATTGGGTTATAACATAATCATGTTTTGTCTTCTTGATTTGCTTTCAAAATATTAATTTTATTTTTTATATAGTAATTCGTACTTGAAGATATTTATGTTCAAAAATGTTCATTACAGATTGTACAAAAATTATACGAAGTAACAAATAACACGAAGCGGAGGAACCGAGGGAGTGATTTTTTTTTTTTTTTGGAAAAAGAGGGGCAAGCCCTGAGGAGTGATTGTGTATTGAATGTAACTTTTATGGACATGCATCTATTTCACTATTTGACCAGAAGATTGTAAATCACCAGCACAGATATTTGTTAGGTCAGCAAGAATTATGTATATGACCAAGATTAATTGTTTATATACATGAACTCAAGAGAAAACATCTAGGATAGATAAATTAGGTTGCGGAGTATATTACAAACTCTATGGCAATTACAAGGACCAGCTAAGTGTTTCCTGACTTTTCTGGTTTCTGTCTTGGCTAGTTGGTTTGACCTCTGTGTAATTGCATTGACCTTGGTTAGGCGGTATCTCTCGCAACTGCATCACAAATTTTAGATGCTTATTCAAGGTCTTCTTTTGGAGCGCATGAGGGTTGCACAAAACCAAGAACTTGGTATGTAACATGCCCTATTATGAAGAAAAAACTGCCCATTTCAGACGTAAACAATTCAGGCCAGGGCCATAGCATATCTGACTACCACCTTACACTCCACAAGTAAATAAGGCTCTATGCACTCCACCACCCCACCCCCACCCCTGCGGCGATAACATTGTTATAATAACCAATATCCAACATTCAAACCACACTCATCGCATATGTTCATATCTATACACTCCACCCCACTCCCACCCCTGCGTTGACAACATTGTCATCAATAACCAATATCCAACATTCAAACCACATTTGTCACATATGTTGATGTTGTTTTCTCATTCTTCAGAAACACATTTTGTGCCTCTGTCAGAATCAGACCTACTCATCTGCAAGCCGTATCCAGAACTTAAGTTTTTAACAGGTTTCCTTCCTTTCCTGGATTTGTTCATAAGGTAAAGATACCGGTGCCGCATACCCACCAAAGGATGGTTTTCTAGCAGACGATCTTTCCTGAAAGCTTCTCTAAGAACCACTGTCTGTGTCTTAATCTTATTAGAAACATAAAATATCCCCGGATGATGAACAATTGCCTTTTCAAACCTCAGCCCAAAACCTAAATAGTCCCCTAATCTTAAGATATTTCTCATTTTAGTCTTTTTTGAAACCAATAGACTCAGAATTTCATGGAGCACAGCCACAGTCCATTTCTCAGCTTGATCGCTTCGAGGCGCTAAATGAAATGCATCCTCATAAGGTGAAATGTAAGGCAAACATTGCCACTCATCAACCCAATCCTTCACCTTCTTCTGCAAATCAAATCCTGGTGGAAAATTCATTGGAAAATTCACTGTCCTCCCCTTTCTACACCCCATATCATCGTCACACTCCTTCCTCAAAATCATCGGCACCCCCAATTCCTTCCTCCATTTAATCAACTCCAATCCAACTTCAAAACCCCCCAAATTCTCAGTATCACTACCCACATCACCAATTTCCCTACTTTTTAACTTACACAACCTAAAATACTCAGGATAATACGAAACAAAATCGAGAACATAATTATCAGGCAAACACAGATCAAATTTCAAATCATCAATAACACTAACAGGAATTCTACAACTTCGAGCAATCATTAACAATCTCACTAACCTCTGAACAGCGGATTCTTTTTGCAACATTGAATCATGAATCTCCTGCTCTTCCTTGTGAAGGGTAAGAAATTGAGGGGTGAGTTTGACATTGGGAGGAGAAAGAGTGAAAAGAGAAGGGTATCTATGGAAGAAGTAGAGTGCAGTGGTGTGTGAAGGGAGGTTTAAGTGAGGCTTATGGAGGGAGGCGATGGAGATAGGGAGAGAGTAAGAAGGGGAAGAGAGGAGAAGGTTTTTGAGAGAGCAACAATGGCAGAGGTTTTTCTCTAGCTCGACTGCAAAATCAAGAAATGGATCTCGCACCCATTTGATTCTGGCGTCAACAAATGTTCTGTGAAGTGTGAGTCGTGGGAGAAGGTGATGGAGGAAGGAGGAAGTTGATTTTTTGATGATTTTGGAAAAGAGAGAATGGGAAAACATTTTTTTGTACCAAGGGTTTTGTGAGGCATTTACGAGTACAGGGATTAAAACCTGTGCATTGCAATCTGGGCTAAAAGGACATGTGAGGCATTTACAATTACAGGAATTAAAACCTGTGCATTGCAATCTGGGCTAAAAGGACAAGTTAACTCGAAACTAAATCTGAAGCAAGTGACAGAACCCAGAAACATATTTTACTCAAAAACATTGTTGCCCTAATTTCTCCTAGCATATTTCTGTAGAAAATTTCTGCCATCTCCTGCCAAAACAAATGAAATAAATTGAAATAACTATTTCTAAAGATCACCTAAAATGACTGGGTTTCACAAAGAATTTGAAATCCTCTAAATTTGTAGCAAGTTTCAATGTCAGGGAATTGAAGCAAATACAAATCCAAATTCTTGAATTTCCCAAACAAATTAATAAATCCAAATCCAGAATTTGAAATAAAATTCCTACTCCCAAACTGAGTACAAGGTTTACTTTGAGTACAAGAGTAATCTACCCACTTCACAAGTTACAACATTTATGTCATTATGTGTATAGTGTATAATTTATTCTCAAACAATAAGGACTAAAATCAGAATCATTAAGTATTTTGAAGAAAATCAAGAACAAATTATAAAATAAGAATCATAATGTCTGAACTCAAATCAGTAAACTAAACTACCAATTAACAAAACCAAAACATTGATATTAAAGGGTTGTATAAACAAAAACCTAAGCACATTAGCAACAAAATATGAATTAATTAATTATCAAAGTAGACTCCAAAAATCACGTTGAATTGATCGGATAATTAATCAATAATCCGAACCCTATATTAACTACTGACAATTAATTAAACTAACGAAAGTGTGGAGCTGATTGTGATATTGATATTCGCTATATAAACTAAATAAAATCTATCTTACCTCAGAAGCTGCTTGGAGGAGAGCAATGAAGAATTCAGAGTAGTAGAGTACGCTTCAACGGAGGAGAGAGATAGAGGGGGGGGGGGGGGGCGTAAATTTGTTAGGTTGGGTTGGGACTAATTAGGTATTTAGGTCAGGTCTAGTTTATGTTTGAATCATGCTACTTCTCAATTTTATTTATTTATTTATTTTTTAATATAGATTGATTCATAAATAAAAAATCATATGATCTTCTTATAAAATAAATAAATAAATAAATAAATAATACGATCTAATAAATTCATCACAATTGAATCAAATAAAAAACATCCTTTTAGCAGAGATACGATCGTTGTTGCAAATCATACATTCTTCCTGTCCTCTTTCATATTGCTGTGATTTTACAGCCTTTTTCGACGAGGGGGTCTATCGATTTATTGTAGTCGTGAAGAAAATTTTCGTATGATTCATCTTATTGTAAACGAATGATTAACCTCTTTATCAATCCCGCCCAAATCTTTACCCATGAAACAACCTGTGTCATACTAAACTCAAAAAATAAAACTGAAACAAAACCCACCATATTCAAACTCACTATAGGGGTACTTATTGTTTGAAATAGTCTTAAATTGTATGAGCAAAGGTAACATTATCCCACATGGTAAGAAGAGGGAGAATTGTACTGATGTATTCAAGTGCATACTTAAGTGGCTAATTCAATTGGACACTTTGTTTAGAGCTATACTACGTGAGTTAGATATATATAACTACTTATATATCTAAAGTCATAGATTACACTTAGCACTTGGGTACATTAGCATTATCATTAAAAACAGATAAATTACATTTATTTATTTTGAAAATCCGTGAATAAGATAATGTCAGACAGTTTTTATAAAACAAAGAAATAACTGTCATTGTTATCTATAAATATAGATGGCATGGTTTAATTTGGACAGTTAATTTTTTCATACTTTTCCCTTTTCAATATTTTCTCTCTGCTTCAAATATTAAAACGGTCATGGAGATCAAAAAAATTGGTTGTGTTTTTTGTTCTAGAAAACAGGAATATCCTAGGGGTAAATTAGCGGATATCTCCAACGACACTTATAGTGGGGGCTAAGAGTATCCTAAGGACAGTGATTAGTATCACGTCCTATGTTACTGTAATTTTCTTAATTTATTTGTGCAATGTGAAATTTTTTCTCTTTTAATTATTTTGTATACTCTATGTCTACAATCTTAGGATAAAATTAAGTATGGTGGATACCATGAAAATAATTGGTCATGATGCAATCAAACTGGATCGTTTTGATGGAACAAACTTCCTGCGTTGGAAAGAGAAGATGGAATTTCTACTTACTACTCTGAAGATTTTTTCCATTTGGGATCCTAATTTGGCACCGTTACCAGAACCCTCTGAGAAAGACACCGAAGAGATAATTGCAGAGCGCAAAAAACGCACTGAAGATGAAATGATATGTCGTGGATAGATTCTAAATTCGTTGTCAGATCGTCTATATGATCTGTACACTTCAGTTCAGTCTGCAGAAAGACAAGGAGCAGATAAGTTTGTCTCTTTTAAATTCTTTGAATTTACTATGGTTGATAACTTGTCTATTCTTGATCAAGTGCATGAATTTCTGATATTAATTTCAAAGTTTAAGGATTTAAACATTACTATTCCTGAGAAATTGATTGTTGGAGGAATTATTGCCAAATTACCACAATCCTGGAATGATTACTGGAAGAAATTGATGCATACTTTTGAGGAATTCACTTTGGAACAAATACAAAAACACTTACGAATTGAAGAGAAACTCGAAGTCATGAGAAAAGTGTAAATGATGTATCAAGTTCCAAAGTAAATTATGTTACTCTGAACAAGCAGAAGGGTAAGAAAAGGAAGGCAAATAATGACAATAAGTCTGATAATTAGAATTCCAACAAGAAGAATAAGGACATATCTGAAATTACTTGTTACAACTGTGGTAACAAGGGACACATTAGACGAAACTGCAAGAATCCCAAGAAGAAAAATCAGAAGAACGTGGAAGAGAATCAAGGTGCAAATATTGTTGAACAAAAGGAAAATGATATCATAGCAATGGTTTCTAATTTGCACATTGGAATGATCCAAGAGTTGCATATGGTTGCTGTCACTAAGAGTGATGATTGGTGGTATGATTCCGGTGCAATGGCTCACATTTGCAATAATTGTGCTCTCTTCAAGGATTACATTGAGTCAGAAGAAGGTCATGAAATCTTGTTAGGAGATAATCATACTAACAAGGTTCAGGGTACGGGAAGTGTAGAATTACAATTCACTTCTAAAAAGAAAGTAATACTGACAAATGTGTTGTATGTTCTTGAGATTAGAAAGAACTTGGTGTCTGGTTATATGTTACATAAGAAAGGCCTTAAGACAATCATTGAATTTGATAAAATAATATTGTCTAACGCTGGTAGTTTCGTAGGAAAAGGATATGCATCTGATGGTAAGTTTAAACTCAGCATTAATAAAATTGAATTTTCTGCTTATTCTTATGAGTCTTCTTTTGCTTTCAGTTTTAATATTGAATGTTCAAGTTTTAATCTTTGGCATAATCTCTTAGGACACATAAATTACCAAACTATGAAATTCATGAGTAAAAATGGCTTAATAGCTTTTAATGATGAATTTAAAGATAAATGTGAAGTGTGTGTTAAGAAGATGAAAAGAAAGCCTTTCCAAAGGTTGATAGAGTTCCTGATATATTGGAACTTGTACATTCAAATATTTGTGAGTTAAATGGTGTTTTAACTAGAGGTGGACGTAGGCATTTTATTACTTTTATTCATGATTGTTCTAAATTTACCTATGTCTATTTATTGAAATCAAAAGATCAAGCTTATGACATGTTCTTGATTTACAAAGCCATGGTTGAAACACAAAAGGGCAAAAAATTGAAAATCTTGCGAAGTGATAGAGGTGGGGAATATTTTCCTACTGAATTTACTTCATTTTGTGAAGATAATGTAATTGTACATCAAGTTAGTGCACCTTATAGACCTCAACAAAATGGAAAAAATGGAGTTCTAGTTGATATGGTGAATGCCATGATTTTAACTCCAATTTACCTATGAATCTATGGGGTAAGGCTTTGCTAACAGCTTGTCATGTACTTAATAGAATTCCCTCAAAGAAGAAGAAACTATCTCCATACAAAATTTGGAGAGGAAGGAAACCTAACATTAGTTATTTTAGAGTTTGGAAATATCTTGCATATTATAAAGTCCCTGATCCTAAGACAACTAAGTTAGGTCCTAGGGCTTTAAAGAGTGTTTTTGTGGGTTATGCAGAAAATTCAAAGGCATATAGACTTTGGACTTGGATACAAATGTGATAGTGGAATCACGAGATGTAGAGTTTTTTTAAAACAAATTTTGTAGAGATTCCATTATTGACGAATCAATCCAAAGACCACAAGTAACACAATTTCTTGATTGTTCATCTAGCAATACACGAATGAATATTAATGTTCCTAGTGAACCAAGGAGAAGTGTAAGAGCTAAAAAGGAAAAGGATTTGGGTCTAGATTTTATTAATTCTCAAGCTATTTCTTTTCTTGTTGAAGGATATAGAGATATTATTACGAAAAAGATTCATATTACATTGAACATAGAGGATGATCCTAAGACATATCAAGAAGCAATGACTTCTAGGATTGCAGCTTTTTGGAGGGAGGCAATTAATGATGAGATGGAATCTTTGATTGCTAATAAGACTTGGATCTTATCAGATTTACCTCTCGGTTGTAAGGCTGTAGGATGCAAATGGATTTTTAAGGTAAAACGTAACACGGATGGGTCCATAGTCACCTTTAAAGCTAGGCTTGTAGCACAAGGTTGTACACAAAAAGAGAGAATAGACTATTTTGACATTTATGCACTCGTAGTAAGAATTACATCCATTAGAGTTTTGTTGGCTTTAGCCTAAAGTTTTTTATTTGTTTGTGCATCAAATGGATGTAAAGACAGCTTTTCTTAATGGTGATTTAGATGAGGAGGTGTATATGAAACAACCCGAAGGTTTTATACTTCCTGGTAATGAACATAAAGTTTGCAAGTTGCTTAAGTCACTTTATGGTTTAAATTGAAACAAGCTCCTAAGCAATAATGGCATGAGAAATTTGACACTGTTGTCTTATCTCATGGTTTTGTGCATAATACAACAGATAAATGTATTTATTCTAAATTTACAGAGGAGTATGGAGTGATAGTGTGCCTTTAAGTCGATGATATGTTAATCATAGGAACTAACATGAAAGGAATAGATGATACCAAAAGATATTTAAGTGAATGCTTCCAAATGAAAGATTTGAAAGACTTTGATACAATTTTGGGTATCAAAGTTAAGAGAAATAGTGGGGGTTATTCTTTGAGTCAAACTCATTACATTGAGAAAATGCTAGGAAAATCTGAGCATTTGCCATTCAAAGAATATAACACTCCATACGACCCTTCTCGTGAACTGGTAAAGAATAATGGAAGAGTTGTAGCATAGTTAGAATATGCAAGTGCAATTGGTAGTTTAATGTATACAACACATTGTACTAGGCCGGATATTGCATTTGTTGTTTGTAAACTTTCAGGTTTACAAGTAATCCTAGTTTAGAGCACTGGGAAGCAATAGGAAGGATTTTTGGATACTTGAAAAGAACTAGAAATCTGGCATTGCATTGTGGAAATTTCCATGCTGTTCTTGAAGGATTTTCTGATGCTAGTTAGATATTTAGCAGTGATGATGATAGTAAATCTACAAGTGGTTGGATATTTTTTATTGGTGGTGGTGCAGTTTCTTGGGCATCAAAGAAACAAACATGCATCCCTCATTCAACCATGGAGGCCAAGTTTTTGGTTTTGGCTGCAGCAGGCAAAGAGGCAGAATGGTTAAGAAACATGTTGTTAGATATTAAGTTGTGGCCACAGCCGATAACATCCATTTCTTTGCACTGCGATAGTGAGGCAACATTGTCAAGAGCTTATAATAAGGTTTATAACGAGAAATCTAGACATATAAGTATGAGACATGCGTATGTGAGGCAGTTGATATCCGATGGTATAATAACTGTGACTTGCGTAAGGTCTTGTAAAAAAACTTGCAGATCCTTTTACAAAAGGACTTGCAAGGAATTTGGTGTATGAAACAAGTCGTGAAATGGGCTTGAGA